TGGGACTGACAGAGGAGTGCTGGGACAGGGGACACCTCTGAGGAGCCACAAGCACCCATGTGAATAGATTGCAAGCAACTCTGGGTACACTTCCTAGGCTCCAGAAACTGCTCCAAAAGAGCACAAAAAAGGTCAAAACCCAACCCAGAAAATGGAGAAAATCCTTCCTACACACACATACTCTCTCACACACAGAGAGAGAGGGACTAACATGGCTAGTACTTGCCACAGCCTGGCCTCTCCTGCAAGGGTGGAAGATCCAGTAGTTCCTCTTCCACATTACAGGGAAAGGGTTACATCTAAGGGGGGTCACCCTCATTTCCTTCCATTTTTCCTGGTACAAAATTCAGGCAGCCTCCATTTCTTCATCGCCAGCAGCTCAAACCTGTTGCTTTGGGAGAAAATCAGGAAACACCAGGTGACCCTAGCACGAGGCTGAGGGCTCAGCCTAAGAGCTCCCTTCTTACTTCCTTCCCACTTCCCCCCACAGCCATATCAAGCTTGGAGAAACCATATGGTTATGCTGGAGCTCTCAGGGGCTCCCCATGAGCAGGTCCCCAGCACCTTCTCTCCCCCTTACTCGACTTTGAGTACAAAACCAGGTTCCCACCTCCCATTCCAAAGGGTTCAGAAGGCAGAGCCAACAATTCCCCAAAGATGAAGAGGACACCAGCAGCACAAGGCACTGTTACTTTAAAAATGTGGAAGCAAACCAAGACTGTCTTGAAGTATTCCATTTTGTGTTAAGAAACCTGCTAGGAAGGCCCTACACCTGACAGCCTAGTATTTTTCAAGAAAAAAAACCAAGTGTTTCTGGAGGGAGTTAGAAATCACAAAGTTTAATGGTTCTAAACTAACTTGATAGGCTAATCTAGGTGGTTTACTTCAGTCCACCTGGACTAAACTAGCTGGGCTAGTCCAGGTGGATGGACTAATCCAGATAGATTAGAGTATCACTCTAGTTTTAAATAAAAGGTATCAAGCAGAAGTGGTATAATCCAACACCTTATATTAGAAAACCCCAAAGTTCACTCATGGTACACAGCACCCTTTCCTTAGGAAAGGGATTCAGTAATAAAGCTAGCATAGAGTTAGCTTAAGCACAGCACCAATGCAGTTGCCATTCCTAGCCTCTATAGTTTACTCACTGCAGTAGCAGTAGATCTACATCATCTCTATGGAGCAACACATGGCTTCAAGTCAGCTCAAAACCCTTGGCTCTGTTGATGACCCCCTCCTAACTGTTCACTTCTTACTCCTTTTAGGGCTAAACCAGATATACTCTTACCTCATGCTCATTTAACTCCTGTAATTAAGACATTAACACTCTCCTAATGACCTCAGGAAGCAATAAGGACATCAGCATGTTTTAGTTATGTTGGCCTACCTAGTGCACCTGAAGGTGATCCTCCAAGGACTTCTGTTTTAAGTCATGCCTTTTTTTCCTGTAACACTTCTTAACAACTTCATTTTTTTCCCCCATGAGCACTAGGTTTCAGGGATAGTTCTACCTCTGCTTTTCTCATCTAATTCTCATGTTACTGTAGATGTTTTTGGTCCATTACCTTCCATACATCAACTCAAACAAATACTAAGCAATATCTCTTATTACATAAAATGGTAATTAAGTTAACATGTTAAGTAACCCCTCTGTTACCTAAACATACTGAGAAAAACATATGCAATTGAAAAGCATATTTTATAAAAGTACAATACATAACTGAACTTGAATTAAAACTGAAATAAACAATCTTGTAAGATTCTTGATTTTTGTAAACCACTAACCTTTTTCCTTCCCTTTTTTGAAGTTACTTCCATCATCACGTGGGTGGACCACAAACACTCTAATATCAACTAGTACATCAGCATTATCCATTAGTTAAAACAACCAATCAAGACAGTAGAAAAAAGTCATTGAAACCTGAACTTTCTACCAGCTGCCTGCCAAAACTTCATACAGTATAAAAGGCTAGTCCAAAAGTGATGACATGTTCATAGTTTTTCTTCAAGACACAGACTGAAATTCTCTTCCATACATATTCAATACTTCTTTAAATAGGAAAAGACAGTGAAAAACATGAAATAAGGAATAAGACAAATTAAAAACAGTGGCTGAAAGTATAGAACTGCCAATTAAAGAACTCCAAAGCTGAAGTTAAATACTGTAACTTCAACATTTCTTGCAGAAGAAAAAAAAAGTAGGTTAATTAACTATTACAAATAAGGACCAAAATTAAAGCAAGGAAAGACCTGAAAAAACAATACTGATATCTATTCTAAAGGCAGCAGCCCAAACTTAAAACACTACTCTGCAATAACCTAGAATAAAGTAAGCCTAAAAAGCTCCACAACAAACTACTCAAACATTACATAAAAATACTTAAGTTATAACCACCATAACAAAATAAACACACAACAAAATAAGTAAGAAAATATCACAATAAAAGACTACCTAAGAAACAAATAAATTCGCATTAAAAATACCAACTACCAAATTAAAAAAAAAAAAAAAAAAAGCAAAAATACAAACAAAAAGCCAACAAGGCAGTGTCCAAAATAAAACTTTCTGAAAACAAACAAAAAAATCCCAGAAGCCATTACACACTCAGCACTCCAGAAACAAGGACCAAGCCCCCCAAGGCTCAGCTTTTATACTGCCCGGGGGGGAATGGGCAGAGGCGGGTGTGGGGGCAGGTCCCAGCTGCGGCCACTCAGGGCAATTGTGGCCTCCAGGTGTGACCGAGTTCCTGACAGCGCAGGCAGTGCCTGTAAAGACTTTAAGCATCTGTCAAAACACAAAACAGGCTTTAAGTTTTCCAACGAAACGCCAAAAAAAAAAAAAACTAAATGAAAATAGCACGACTGAGGAGCTGCTGCTTTCTGCTTTATTCTTTTGTGCAAGTTTAGTTAGCGTTTTTATTGCTATGAGTACTGATGCCCTTGAATGGTCTGTTAGCAAAGGCCGGGCCCAAAGCACCCAG